TGTCATGTGATTGCTACATCCGCTCTCGAGAAACCATACCTCCTTGGTTTGATCCGATGCCTTGTGACAAGCATAGAACATGTGCCCTATACTTTCTTGCTCCTCGAAAAATTTAGCTTGTTGAGTGCTCTTGACTAGGCAATCCTTCTTGACATGCCTAAATTTGTTGTAATTGTAACATTTTGGCTTTTCTCGAAACCAACAATCTTTATCAACATGATTGCTTCGGTTGCAAATTCCGCACTTTTGTTGAGTGGACTCTTCATTTTCCTTTCTTTGAAAATTAGACCTTCCTCTTCCTCTTGCATATCTTGCTCTTCCGGTTGCATTTCTTTCTCTTCCTCTTCATTGGGAATTAGAGGCACTAACATTAAGCTTAGATTGAAAGGCACTTTCAATTGACTTTTCAGATTGCCTACTCAACCTTTGCTCAAATGTTTTAATTGAACCCATCAAATCTTCAATACTCAAATCAGCAAGATCTTTAGTTTCTTCAATGACAGCAATAATAGGATTGTATTTCTCTGGCAAACTTATTAAAATTTTCTTAACAACTCTTTGATTAGTAATATTATCCCCATAAATTTTCATTTGGTTCACAAGATCCATAAGTCTAGAAAAATAATCCTTCAACAATTCCATATCCTTCATCTTTATATTTTCAAAATCTCTTTTCAATGATTGAAGTTTGATGGTTCTTACCTTCAAGTTGCCTCTATACTCTTTTTGAAGAATATCCCATGCCTCCTTTGCTTTTGTTGCATTGATAACTCTTGGAAAGATTTCTTCTGAAACTCCTTGTTGAATAAAAGAGAGAGCCTTTGAATCCTTCTTCCTTTGCTCTTTTAATTGGTTCTTTTGGGGATTTGTCAAAGCTCATTCATCTTCAGGTTCCTCGAACCCATTTTCAACAAGATCCCAAAGATCCGTATAGACAAAAATAGTTCTCATTTTCACATACCAAAAATCAAAATTTTCACCATTAAAGATGGAAGTAGTTACATTTTGGTTGTTGGGATTCGCCATGGACATCGGCTTGTTCTTCTTCGGAGCTTGTTTTCCCGTATCCGATCTCTACGCCCAGCTTGTTCTTGACCCAACCAAAGCTCTGATACCACTTCTGTTAGCTTTTGATAAAGCATTCTCTAGAATGAACTATTATTTTGTATTGAATTTTTCTCTCTTATTTTATTCATTATTATATTTTGCCCATAGGCTTACATCTTTTTATATAGAGAAGGTTATACATAAGTTCAATAAATAAGATCTATGAACCTAAACAACCTTACAATTAACTAGATACATGAATATAATCTAGACAATGCACTTAATAAATATAAAATACATGAATGTAAAAATACATGAATACAAAGAATGCGTGAACTCAATGTATCCAATGTATGCAATGTATCCAATGTATCTAATGTAAATATGGCATTAATTTTAACACAATGTGTGCTTGCATTTCTTTTGCCTCAATTTTTTATCTTCCCCTCTCATTATTGTTGTAATTTTTTCTTATTTCCTTTCCTTATTCTTTTTGATAACACGACTCTTACCATGCAACATGCCATGATGTTTTATAGTTTTGCTTCTTTGATGGGTAATCTTTCTATTTATGATTTCATCTTTTGCTATCTGCATATTTTTCTCATGACACCACTTTGTATCTCTTCTAACTTCGATTCATGTATTTTCTCATGTCTCCTTTCTTCATCATTGTCTTCTTCTTTTTCATGCTATGAATTTGACTATGAAGATGACAATATAATAAGTTGTAACTGATAATTAATTGCTTAGGCCTCGTTTAGGGACTAGCCAATTTAGCCAAAAAGTCAAAAAGTTACTAAAAAAGTCAAAAAGTCAAAAAGTCAACAACTCATACCAAAAAGTCAAAGATTCTCTTTTCTCTCTACTTTTTGCACATCTTTTCGTAAAAAGCCAAAAAGTCATCCCAAACATACTAGTTAAAAAATTACTAAATTAGTCTGTTCCCAAACGAGGCCTTAGCCCAGGAAAGTAGTTATTATTAATTAGATGTGGGAAAGATTGAATGCATTCCATGGCCCAATGCAGGCTTACCTTCAAAGATTGCAACTTTGGTTTATGTGATCTTTTGGCCTGTCATCTTTAGGGTGTCAAATAAGGTTACCTGGTCTCTCTTCCATGTCTCTTTCTAATTTTCTGCAGTCTGCATTTCTTTTCATAATTTACCAGTGTACCTTTTGTGGCTGCTTGGAGTCTTATAAACTTTCCTTTCTGCACTCTTATGTTTAACATTTGTTTGTCTCAGAGGCTTAGATTCTTGAAAATGTCTATGCATTCTAGTATTGTTTGTATTAAAACTTATATATCTTAATCATTGTGGTTTTAACTTCAAATTATTTGCATGCCTCTCATAACTTTTCTAATCTATGTAAATTGTATCTGCCTTCTCCCCATTTTCTGACCAGCCAGTTTTTTCTTGTCCTTTTGGTTAGGGATGAAGCAAAAGAGATCATCGGGTAAACCCAAATCAAATGTTTCTGATGCTATTATGGAAGTGACAGCTAAACCAATGAAAACGCAAATGTTCGAGAGCACTGAAAATGTCTGAGGTTCTCGAAAAATGCCAAAGCGAGCTGCTGCCTGCAGAGATTTTAAGCATAAATCTGTACGCGTTCGCGAACCAAAATTAGAAATGAAAAGGGTTCGAGTAGTGGAAGATGAATCAGAAGCAATAAGCTTAACAACTGGTGAAAATCATTCGCGGCCAAATAGATGATTGACAAATTTCGTCTTCCATGATGAAGATGGAAAACCTAGACCTGTAGAAATGTTAGAAGTAACAGACATTTTTATTACAGGTCTCATCTTGCCCTTGGAGGAAATAGATGAAAAAGATAAGGTGCAAGGAGTTAGATGTGAGCGTTTTGGCCGTTTAGAATCCTGGGCCATATCTAGGTATGATGATGGCTCACCAGTCATATGGGTCTTTACTGAAATTGCAGACTATGATTGTGTTAAGCCTGCCAACAGCTGTAAAAATATGTACTGTCTTTTCTATGAAAAGGCCCATGCATGCATTGACATTTACCAGAAGCTATCAAGATCTTGTGGAGGTGACCCTAATCAGAGTCTTGAGGAGTTACTTGCTAAGGTTGTCCGCTCAATGAGTGGAAGAAATAATTTTCCTCGTGGGATGTCTGTCACAGACTTCATTGTTTCACATGGGGAGTTTATTTTTTACCAACTAATTGGATTGGATGAGACGTCCAATAAAAATGAACAAATGTTCAGTGAGTTGCCTGTTCTTGCTGCTCTTAGGGATGAAAGTAAGAAAAACAAGGGTTGTGTGGTTGGAGAACTGATTCCATCTGATAGGGTGCTAGACACAAATTTGGAAATTAGAGACAGACATAATTTAAATAAGTCACATGCATCCAGTAACGCAGACGAGGACGAAGTGAACATGAAATATGCCCGTTTGTTGCAGGAACAGGAAAACTGGCAACCACTGAGACAGAACAAAAGGCGGCGTGTGGGTAGTTCGCCAAAAAACTATTATATTAAGATCAATGAAGATGAGATCGCAAATGACTATCCACTTCCCGCATATTACAAGAATTCTGTTCAAGAAACCGATGAGTACCTTAGCTTTGATGGTTTTAATGATGCAAACAATCCAAACGAGCTTCCTCAGAGAATGCTGCATAATTGGGCACTCTACAATTCAGACTCTAGGCTGATCTCTTTGGACCTTCTCCCGATGAAACCTTGTGCTGATATTGATACCACCATTTAATAGAGTGGACTATCGGTTTTTTCTAATCTATTTTTCATGTTGTGCATGCAGGGTTTTTCAGATGGCTACAAATTTGATGGTAATATTCAGCACAAGCATAGGCAAATTGGGAATGCTGTCCCTCCTGCTCTGGCATTTGCTTTGGGGAGTAAACTCGAGGAAGCGGTGGAAAGGAAATGGTGAACCTAGGTGAATTGCTCTTAGAGCACATGCTTCTCTTTTTTTATACATCATTTTTTTTCTTTTCTTTTTTTTTTTTTCTTTTTTAGGGTTGGGTTGTTATCTCAACTGTTTTTTATTTATAAATGAACTAATAATATCTTTTGCAATTTTTTGCTTTGCCCAAGGCAGTAATATCATAGAGTTGAGTTCATATTGATATTGACAAAGAATATACACTTTATCATCAAAACGATTGTGCATTTAGATCAATCAGTGGAAAGGGTGAAAAGAAATATAAGGGCAGACGTTCCGACTAACCCTAGCTTCACTCCTTGAAATGTGTTATCAGGTATATTGCACCTTGTTACCATTTTATTGAAATTAAATTCACCCCCATTAAGCAAGCAGCTAGTTCATCAACCAGCAGAATATTGACAAAATACAGTTTTTAAAACATCAACCGTAGCATATCCGTGTCGTGTTCGTGTCGTACACTAACACTTGATGGATAATTGATTTGTTATTTTTATGTTTTTTGGCAGGTGAGGATTGGTATCTGGGAAGCTGGGGCATATGGTGTGTCTGAATCTCGGAAACATGCATTTATATGGGCAGCCTCTCCTGAAGAGACACCCCCAGAATGGCCCGAACCAATGCATGTTTTTGCCGGTCCAGAGCTTAAAATGTCATTGAATGGAAAGAACCATTTCACTACTATTCGAAGTACCTCAACTGGTGCTCCTTTCCATGCAATAACCGTAAGAGATACAATTGGAGATCTCCCAGCTGTTAAAAATGGGGCTTCAACAACTACTATGGAGGTGGGGTTTCTTCTCCAGCTCTATGGAAGTTTATTTTTTTACTAATGTTCTATGTTCTATCCCTATGAAGCACGGACACTTCTCTGGAGGTCACTTATAGGTGTGGGACATGTACACGTGCTTGACATGTGTCGAGCACGCTGAATACACATTAAGGACACGTTGATGACTTCTTCTTTTTTCAAAAATGAATTTTTTTTTTTTTTTTTTTTTACTAAAGTAGCATACTTGAGTTTGATAAATTTTAAAAAAATTAAATATTTGGCATAAAATACGTATTAAATATTTAAAAATATGACATATAATAAATATATAAAATTGTATGTTTTCCGTGTGTCCCCAACATCGTGTCTTGTATTTTTTGAAAATTTTCGTGTCCTCGTGTCCATGTCGTGCCGTGTCACTTGTCCGTGCTTCTTAGTTTTATCCTTATATTGTTCCTTACTTCCTCTCTTATATTGTTGTACAGTACAATGATGAACCTGTGTCTTGGTTACAAAAGAAAATCCGAGGAGATACACTCGCCTTAACTGATCATATATCAAAAGAAATGAATGAGCTCAATCTCATTCGGTGCCAAAGAATACCTAGACGTCCAGGTGCTGATTGGCGTGACCTTCCTGATCAAAAGGTAGTTTTCTAATCTATCTATAGAATTTCATTTGTGAACTGCTCATACTATTATACAGCAGGTCTTTTATCCAAGTTTTATTGCAATATATAAAAGATAGTATTCTTTTTCTTTTTCTTTTTTTTTTTTTTGTTCCAATGGTTTGTGGTTCCACGCATTGTGAGGTGTTTCCTAAATTCATTTTCTAGTTAAAAAAAACGTATTTACAAAATACACTTTCGATACAAATTTTGAAAAAAAAAGAAATAGAAAACATGTCTACAAAATATGCTTTTAACATAATGTTTTTATTTGAAAAGCATATTTTGCAAATATGTTTTTTGAGTCTACAGGTCTGGGCTTGGGAAGCCAGCAGCGCAATATAGTCCATGGTATGAACCAGTTTTGAAAACTGTGAGGTTTGCAATTAGTATAATCACATTGTTAAAGGAACAAATTCGAGTATCACGACTTTCATTTTCAGATGTCATTATGAAAGTATCTGAATTTGACAAGGATCACCCTGGTTACATATCTTCCAACCCAGAGGCAGTAGAGAGGTACGTGGTAGTTCATGGACAGATTATACTTCAGCAATTTGCTGAGCTTCCAGATGATACTATTAGGAAGTGTGCTTTTGTGACTGGTCTTCATGATAAAATAGAGGAAAGACATCATACAAAGTGGTTAGTGAAGAAAAAGGTGACTCTAGAAAAGGAAGCAATTTTGAATCCAAAAGCTGCCATGGCACCTGGGACCTCAAAAAAAAATGCAATGCCGGCCACAACAACAAGACTGATCAATAGAATATGGGGAGAATATTACTCCAACTACTCATCAGAAGACTCAAAGGAGAGTGATACATGTGCCATGAAGGAGGATGAAATTGAGGAACAAGACGAAGGTGAAGAAGATGAAGAAGAGGATGAAGAAGAGAAGGGATCAGTTGGTGGTTCTGTCCTTTCGACAGGTGACTCAGAGGAATATCCCCCAATCTATTTCGTCGAGTACATGTTTGAAGAATTAGATGGGAGAAAAGTGGTTCACGGAAGATTGTTGATGAGAGAATATCAAACTGTTCTTGGGAACACTACTAATGAGAGAGAGGTATTTATGACAAATGATTGCTTGGAATCTATGTTACACGGACTTGGGTGCGGGTACGTATCTTCGTCGAGTACATGTTTGAAGAATTAGATGGGAGAAAAGTGGTTCACGGAAGATTGTTGATGAGAGGATATCAAACTGTTCTTGGGAACACTACTAATGAGAGAGAGGTATTTATGACAAATGATTGCTTGGAATCTATGTTACACGGACTTGGGTGCGGGTATCGGGTGCGGGTAGGTATCTAGGGGTCGGGTACTTCAAAATTAAAAATTGAGGATACGTGAATATGGATCCAAACGAGGATACGGGTACGGGGATACGTTAAATATTTAATTTTTAAAATATATTTTTTATATAAAGATAAGTTAAATAGTTATTTTTTAAATATATTTATTATTTTTATCTTATGTATTACTTTTATTCATAATTTTTTTGATTTATCTATATAATTTTTTTTTTAACTTTAATTGACATATATATTATAAATAACAAAAATATAATAAATAAGGAATAACAAATTATGTTAAAATAAATATAAAATAGATAATGTATTTTATAGATTTTATTAATTTATTAATTTTTTATTATATATTATTTAATTAAATTTATTATTATATAATTGATAGGTAGATGGTAACTTTTTTGACTTTTGATTGGTAGGTGAAAAGGTGAAAATTTATTAACTTGTTGGTTGGTGACAACTTTCAAGATGGAAGAAAAGAAGTTGTTCTCAATATATTATTTATGATATAATTTATATTATACATTATTAATTTATATTATATATTATATATGATATAATTTATATTATACATTATTTATATAATAGGCACCAATTAAAAAGAAGAAAGAAGAGAAGACGGTCAAGAGAAGAATACAGAGAGAAGGGAGAGAAGGAAAGAGAGAAGAAAACAGAGAGAAGGGAGAGATGACGTTGATCGAAACAGAGAAGAGGGAGATGAAGATGATCGAGAGTGAGAGAAGAGATAGAAGAAGACAACAATCGAGTGTGAGAGTGAGAGAGAGAAGAAGACAGTTCGAAAGAAGAAGATCGGAGCCTTAATCGCAGGATCGAAGGCCTAATCACAGTTTTCGTAGCCCTAATCCCAGGTATGCCATCTTTCTTCTTACTTCCATATGCCATATCTACTTCTTCCATGCCGTATCCACTTGTTCCATGCCGTATCCCGTACCCGTACCCGTACCCGTGTCGTGTCGTATCGACATGGGTACTTCGCCAAAACTGATGAGTCCGTGTAACGTAGGACATGACCCGATAACAAGAATATTAAACGGGTCGAGTTAGTGTCAAATCAGTTTAACACGTTATTGACACAGATAACCTATATAATGAAGAATTAGTTACACATTTTAATATTATTTTCACTAAAGAATATCAAGACATTTTTTAATCTCTTACATAATTACATCTAATTTATTAAAAAGTATGCAAAATAAGATTTTATGTTTAACATAGGTTTTGTTTTTGCTTTTAATTGAACTTAATGTTTCTTTTGTCTATTATTTGAGTTAATATAGTAAAAATATAATTTTTATAAATTACGAAGATAAAATTAAGTTGAAATCAAATATTTTTATAAATAATTTAATTTGATAGAGATTAGTTTCATTAAATTTAACTTATGAAGAAATTTTTAAATTTTTTTCACACATTTGATATTTTTAGTTAAAAGTGAATTTTTTTTGACATGACACATTAACACAACACAAACCGAATACAGACCAAAAATGACACAACACAGTAACACGAAATACTAAACAGATCAGGTTATCCAAGATTACACAACCCAACACAACATGACACCCACCCCTAGTTTGGGGCCCCATTAGCAACAAAATTTGATTATAATCAGACCTGTAAAAGAACTCCTTTACAGTGGCCCCACATCAGTTTCGTTACCAAAGCTTGCAAGAGCATGTCTTCATTCTCATCCTACATCCCTTGTCTATAAAAAATAAAACTCTCTTTTCTTTCCTATACTTGATTTTGTTGACTTTTAGTGGAAGTTGTAGGTCTCTGTAGTGTAGACACATAGGAGGGACTTTTTGTAGTTTGCCTCTTTGTCTACATCATGTGTACAGGTAACGCCCCTTTGTGGCTTTTTTGGTATGAATGAATTTTATCAAAATAAAATAAAACTAACTCCATAATTTTTTTAAGTGTTCACAGAATTCTTAACAGACCCTGTCAAGCATGGTAGCATATCCTGTCCCAGGTGTGGTAGGACAGACGTAGCTATCTTAGTGAGGCACTATGATGAAAAAGATGTTGGACAGCAGGACAAAAGTTTCCCAGTCTTGTATTGATTGAAACTTCTAAAAGATTAGGCAACTATAGGAAATTGGCAAGAAACTTATCTCTAGACAATATTTATGCAGCCTCGATATTAATATCATATTTGCAATGCAGCCGAGGAATAAGCATGGCAGCATACCATTTGCAGTTGGTTTCTTCAATGGAATCTGCAAGAGTAGCTGGTATACGCCTCCACTTGAAGCAATCATCACACCGAACCCAAGCATTACGTGGCGGTAGATATTGCTCGCCTACCACTCTCGGCACCATGTCCAAGCTGAACACATCCCTGGTTGTATTTGCATTGCCAGTTTTAGATTTCCCGGGATCATCTGATGAGTGATCTCCTAGAAAACATTAATTCGTGTAAAATCAATTTCAGTCAAAAGACTCAGACTCAGTGAAGTCAGAAACAAGCTCAATTTTGTCCTGGCTAAAAAAGTGCATCACTTGGCGAAGAGGAAATAATTGGAAAACAGAAATATGAAAGGAGTTAATGACAAAGTTTGTGTGTGTGTGAGTATATGTATGTATGTATCTGAGTCCAGGCTAATATATTGTAAATTTTTTATACCTGTCTCTGGGTGATTTTCCACTCTGCAGACAACCTGATCACAAGCACTCTTGTCTTTCAACTTTCTCCTATTAACTGACTTCAGTGGGTTTCCCTTCTGTCTAGATGCATTTCCTATCCCGCTCCTGGATGAATCAGAGACTTCTGACCCACTTTTGCTCGCTCCTCTAGATTTTGAACTTTTCACATGCTTTCGCCCCTTAGTTTTAGCACAAGGAAGTAATTTGTCAGAAACATGTGATTCTGGTGACTCAAGCCCTGCACCGTGTCTGAAGCATGGATCTTCTTCTGTTCCACTTTCAACTTTCAAAGCCTCACAGGAGACTCCAATGTCAGCAACTCTTGATAAAGGCAATAGTTCCCTAGGAAATCCCTCGCTGCTTGAAGTGTTTCCCGACATGTTTGCCGTGGTAGTTGAAATAGAAGCCTCACTAGAGTAAAAGCCATCTCCCATTTTCTCTCCCTGTCCCTGTTTCTCTAATACACTTGCTTTATTTATGATTTCTGGACTAGGTAACCTATCTTCCACAATGAAATTATCTGCACAAGGGAGTTCATACTTTTTCTTTCCTTTCTTATTTTTTGGTGGCATGTTCAAACTGGTAACATCTTCATTAGCAACACAGACTTGGGAGGACATCAGAACATCATGCAAATCTTCTTGAACTTTTCCATTAACTTGGGCTTCTGGAATCAGGTTGATGACTTCTGAATCAGGTGAAGTTCCTGAATCTAAGTACCTATTATCAACTGCAACTTCCAATCCTTCATCCTGTGTCTGGGAGGGAACCCTTTGATGATTATCTGAAGTGACTGTTGCTGATTTTTCACTGATCAAGGTGCTCTCCAAGTCCTTGTTTGCAAGGCACACATCAACATGGGAAGCATCTGATAACATTACCACCTTCTCCGGGTCCCCACCCTTTGACTTATTTTCACTACCATTGGTTAAGTTAGGGACATCTATACTACTAGTTCCCCAGTAGTTTTCGAGATCATTGTCTATAACAGAAACCATATTTGTTGGACAAATTAGACCCATTTCTTTGCCTAGCTTAACCTTCAGACGAAGGGGGCCAGATAAAGCACAGGTTTTACCCTTCGACCTTTGTGAACTTGCACCTGCCTGATTCTTATTCCGCCTCCTGCTACCTTGAACACCCCTTGCTTTTCGTGATTTCATCTGTTTGTTTTGAATGATATCAATGGCAGCATTCTGCTCAAAAAGTTGTCTGATATGGCCCAATGATCCCCAAACAGAAGAACGAGCTGGTTTGCAAAAGTAGCTTCTTCTTTTTCTTGCCACCCTGAACAGAACTGAATCTATCAATGGTTTCTCAATAACTGTCTTCCCGCATTTTCTCAGAGCCTTCTTTGTCAGAGTCTTCTGATTCAATTTAGTAATGTGGGCGTGGACACTCCTCGGAGGAGATAAACATATAGTTTCAGGACGTTCCAGTTCAGAAGAATCATCAAATTTAATATTATCTTTCACTTCATTGTCTCTCTGTCCAGAAGATTCAACTACGCCAATAGAATTGAAAGAACCAACAAGACCCTCAGTACCCGAGATATCTGGTGCAACTAAGCTCTTAGAAGGATCGGCATCAGTAACAGAAAAAGGTTCACATGTTTGTTGAGAAACTGATAAATCTTCAACAGCACAGTTATGATCCATGCTGGATGATCCTTCCTTGAAATTGCAAGCATTTTCTAAAATAGGCAATATCTCGGTGAGCATATCAACGTTTGAACAGTGACAGCAATCTCAAAGCACTAGAACTCTCTATTGCCAGAGGCCCTGGGAACCATCCAAAGGCTTGTGCATCAAGGAAGCAGAGCACTAATTTCTGGAAGAAAAAAACAGTTGTGTTTAAATAAGTTATGTTAAGATAAGATAAGAAATACATATCTATATTTTGAAGTTTGATAGGTGAAACTACTAAGAACTGACATATTTATATTAATAACACTGAAAATGCTAAACAATATGAGATTAGACAACAGATGTGTTAACTAAGCAGATGAAGGTAATACATCACAAAAGAAGAAGGTTAGATTTAATTGTAATAAACAAAACACACCCCATATAATACACTAATCTGTTAGAGCTAGTACTATCATAAGTTGGCAATTTCATGACTGTAACATGCGTCTTAGGTAAGGCCCAATCCGCTACCACTTTGGAGAGCACATTAAACAACACTTGTAATCTAGGAAACATCGATGTTATGGGAATTCTTCATTGGCAAGCATGTTGCTATGGAAGCGTAATCGGCATCAAGATTGTATTGCACAAGACGAATACCTTGGAAGCTATTGCTATGGGAGTTTTTCGTTGACCTGAAAGATGGCTATGGGAGAACTTTATCAGCAAGGAGAAACCTTTAGACAAAGGCAATACCAAGGAGACCATGAAAAATGATCAACATAGTTTCATTTGGCTAACCTAGTCAGCCAGCATCAATACTTGGTCGACCAAGGGTGCTATGGTTGAAAAATGGCAACCAACCACATAGGTTGGTTGACCAGATAAGTCTGTTAGGATAGTTTTGTAAATCTCACTATGGGGGCTGACCTATTGTTGGTGTGGGCCAACTCATGAGGACATTGTAAGAGTTGGATTCATGTAGAGTTGTATGCTATGAAGTGTCAACACTTCAGAATAGGTGTTGTGGCCACATTGGACACGTATGGAACACAAACACAACAGACACTTGTATGGGGCATGCCACGTGGTACGACATGCTTTGGAACACAAAAAGGTCTTATTTTAATTTTTCAAAGCTAATTTCAAGCATCATATTATAATATTTGAAAACATGAGGGCTGAATTTAAATATATTTATATATATAACTCATCAAACCATAGAATCTAACCATAATTGTGAAGTTAAGAGACTGGCTTCTAATGATCCATGGAGCCCAATGCAACACATATATCTAGCATTTGACCAATCTAAATTTAGTTTCTTTTTAACATTAAGGCCTCGTTTGGGAAGAGGCCGATTTAGCCAAAAAGTCAAAAAGTTATTAAAAAAGCCAAAAAGCCAACAACCCATACCAAAAAGTCAAAGATTCTCCTTTCTCTCTACTTTTTGCACATCTTTTCGTAAAAAGCCAAAAAGTCATCCCAAACATACTAGTTTTTTTTAGTTCATATTTTAGCCAAATAGCCAAAAAGTTACTAAATTAGCATGTTCCCAAACGAGGCCTAAATTAATGTTATTTTTGATTAATTATGGTTGTTTATGACTGCAATATTTATATACATAACAACTAAATATATATAATATATATTTGTCGTATCCCCACCATATCTATGTCCTAACTTTTTTGAATCGTCATATCTCATGTACGTGACTGTGTTCGTTACCTATTTATATTGTGGGCTATCCCAAACCAAACTTTCATAAACAAGTCGCCAACATGTGGGCCAATCCACGGGGTGCGTGATGCGACTGCTTGAAAAAGTAGTTGTTACCTAGGTGTTGAGACTTTGTCTATTTATACCCTAACTCTCCCTATAGGCGTTAGTTGATGAGAATAAGACATTAAGGGGGTCTATACACTTGTGTGAGTGTGAATCCAAGATTTGAAGGAAGAGTGGTGTGGTCTTCAAGCTTCAAGAAAGTGAAATTTCGAAGAACTTACTCCAATGAGTCTTTTGACTTCTTTTCACTTTTGTAACTTGTAAGAGGTATTTTCTTACCCCTGTAGTGTAGATTATATACTATTGTCCTACGCATGCCACAATAGCCTCACTTAGAGACATTTGGGACTTTTGGATATCGGATCTCCTGTTTTGCAGTCCTTGTCTCTAGCTTCATACGATTCAGTGAAGTTTTAGGTTGTGTTTGGAAGTTGTAGTTTTGGGTGAGCCTAATCCCATTGTATGTGGAGAAAGTTTAGGATGTCTCCTAGAAAAAACCCTTGAAGGTGTGATTGTAAAGGTTTTAGGTGACCCTAGTGAAAACCTGTGTTAATTAGCGGAATACGCCAATTAGGGATACCACGAACAAATGTAGACGAGTAGTCAAAACCACTATAAATTCATGTTCATTCTCTTTATATTCGTTACACTTATTTATATATATATATATCGCACTTCATTTATTATCATTGATGAATGAAATGAACACATGATTAATAGTGTTGATCTTCAACATATGTTTGACATGAATATGTTTATATGATATTAACATTTGAACGAATGATATTTGAAGATAAACTTGGTGAACGGTATAATATAAGACAAATTGATATCACTAAAACTTCAAGAGTTGATTTAGGTTGAATAAATCCGATCATACTGTACAGTCTCAACCTCGGTCAACGAGGATAGGTTCTTGGTCAACAAGTTCTGTCAACCAAGAGTAAAGTTGGATGTCACCAAACCTTAGCAAGTTTATTTTGCAAATACTCCATTATCACCTAAAAATCTTAGGAGTATCAAACTACATTAAAGCACAAAACTTAAGAACACACACAAATTTTTGAAAGGTAAATGTAAAAGAATCTAATTACTACTATATATATCATAGCATCAAGTAAAGAAATTTTGTTAGTGACATTTTAAAACAATGACCCTTGTGTTTTAAATGACAATTACTTCTTTAAGTTACACACCCCTCAAATAAATAGATGGGGGGAAAGGCATGAATTTCGCCCTCCCTCAAAAATTGAATTTTGTTCAAAGGTTCAATTGAAAAGTCCAACCCACACTTCTCCTTAAAACTTAGATATTAAAGAGAAGGAAACTGGAGCTTTATAACCACCCTCTTAGACCACAACATACAGTAGCTGGACAAATGACCCACCAATCACAAGCCCAACCAAGCTCCGATACCAAATTAAAAAGCCTAGCTCACACTTCTCCAACCCAAGTATGAAGGAGAGGAAAACTGAAGTATTATAACCAGCACAGATGTGGCAACTCGAGGCGATGTAGGACACATTACAACAGGTTCACAATTGAAATAATAATAATAATAATAATAATCCCAATAGAGAAGAGGGTAAGATGTACCTAACCTTTACCCCATTCATGGAAATGTTGTTTCTGTAACAGGTAGGTATATAGATATATAGAGATTGAGAGACAGAGAAAGAGGGTTCTTACTTCTACCCAGCGAGAGAGAAATGAGAGATGGAACGACAATAAACACACCAAATCAATCCGACCCAGACAAACTTTACCAGAAAAAACCCTAATTTCAGTGCTACCATTCCGAATGCAGTTACATATACAGACACAGATAAATTCAGCACACAGTTTTCCGACATAGAAAATCCAAACAAGAGATTGAGAGAGAAAGCGAAAGCTCAAAGTGCCTTGCTCAGAAAAATCAAAAACAAAAAAACCTAATTCAAAGGACCCAAGCCAATGCCGACAAACATGAGCAAATTCATAAGCAATTAACAAATATACAAAACATGAAATTTATGCATACAATTTGTGAACAATAGAGAGATCGAACCTGGTTATGAAAGAAGACAAGTAATTGAAGCCGTTGAGAATCAAAGAAGAATCAACTCGAAACAAATTTATATATATATATATATATGTGTGTGTGTACATATAGATATATATGTTTATGTATGAATATTTCAATGGTTTTTTTAGAGAGAGAAATTTTTATAGAGAGAGAAAGAGAGAATCGGTGTGGTGTCAGCAACCGGTTTTTAAGAAAAAAGAAAAAAGAACCTAAAAAAAAAAAAAACGAGAGACGGCAAAAAGTGTTCCTGTGGTGAATGAAGGAAGAGGAGGGAGAAATTTTTTATTTTTACACATATATATTTAATGAAATATTATTTTAATTATAATTTTATTTTTAAATAAAATAATATAATAGATATTAAAACACATTCTTAATATTAAATTAAATTTCTTTCTATACATATTTTTTTAAAATAAACAAAAATTAATGCACATCTTTTGAGTACAATAAAAATTAAATCTTAATTTTTTCATTGTTTCTCATTAGCTCACTTCGAAAATCAAGTTTCGAATTCATAAATTAATTTCCAAAAAAAAGATATAGTTAAATTTGAAATTTAAGTTTCGAAATTTTGTAAGATTCTCAAAAGTTAACAATCAAACAAACTACTTATGTTCACATAATCAATACGGAATGGTGAAAATAATTTTTTTTCCCAAGAAATTTTGAGGGTTTATGGCAAAGGTGGATTTATGGGGAAAAAAATGATAGAAAAAAAAAAAAAAACAAATGCAATGGAACAAAATGAGCATAATTGGAAAAAAATTGTGAATCTTCAAATGCAATGGATATACTTATGCAATGGAGCGTATTCAATGAAGGCTGGGTCTTCACAAGTCTTCAACAGAGTTCTTCACCATGATTGTTTGGGAGTGTCGTAGGTGTGGACATGTTGTATAATTACAATATGTAATATATGAAATGAGACAAATAATATCTAATCAAATTTATAAACCTATGCACTGAGAAATGATATGCATAGAGATAAATAAGTGTGTAAAAATAAAATTTTAAGACAGTCAAGTTGAATGTGATATATAGTTTTTTTTTTTAATTTAAATAGTCAAAATGCACAAGTTTATAGATGAATGACAAAAATTGACATTATTTGCAAATAATTAAGAGGATTTTGGTATGATTAATTTAAAATTTAAAATTTGTTTAAATTTGACTTATTTTTGCTTTTGAGGGGATGTTAAATTAAATTCAATTAAATTGCGGTCAATCTAATTTTTTGTAATGCAAATTTGGCAGATTATAGGTTATTCAAGTTTAATTCAAAATTTAATAAGTTTTAAAATATGTTTAAATTTAACTTGTCTAAGCCTAATTTTGCAGGATTTATAAGCCTAAGTTGCTAATATAAGTCAAATGTCATTTGTCTAATTAGTGTTCTCGCCAAAAAATCAATCTAAACCATTTATTTTTTTCAAATCTGAAGGTGAGTGTAATTTAAATCACTTAAAAAGTATTAGAAAAATAAAATATATTATGTAAAATAAACTAACTCATCTTGAGATTTAAAAAAATACAATTAATTCTATATTTTTTGCATAATTACACTGGCTTCAATTAATATTTTAATTCACATAATAATTAGACTATTTTTCATCAATAATTTGTTAATCGTATGAGTGTAAGATAATATTATCATTTTTATACAATAAAATGTATATTTATTTCGGGTTGTGCTTCAGACCCCAGTGGGGGTCAACCCCCAGTGACGTGGCGCACTGGGGTTGGCCGAAAATCAAAAAAAAATAAAAATAAAAACAATTTTTGTTGAGCCAATAGGAGCCGACCCCCAGCACCCCAGCTGGGTGTCTAAGGCATTTTTGATTTATTTCAGGATTTATTTATCTTTTACATTAATTTCGTTCACTTTAGCTTTACTAAAAGAAATATGAGTTTAATTTTATAAAAAATATTAATTCTAATTTTTTCAAATTACCTATTTTTGTAAGTACTAGTTTATTTATAAACTTATTTTAAATTAATAATTAGTTTACTATTGAGTTCTGTTTGGACACGGATTGCATCCGATTGGGTTGGTGAAGGCTTTCAAGGGAGTAGTTGTTGCACTCGCTCGAGAATGAGGCAACGACGCGGTGTTTGTTTGACACGTGGACAAGTGAAGGGCGTTGTGGTAATTTGGCAGGTCAATGGTTTTTGGGCACAGATGTGTTTTTGATGATGAATTAATTATTGTGGATTATGTAAATCTTTGTTTTCAGATTACAGACATAAATGACAAATAATTATGTGGTGGTCTAGGGGAGAAATTATTCAATATTCTAGAGTAAGTTTAGGTAATATTTTAAATGAGTAGTTATTGAATTAAATTATGAAATTCACTATTTTTGTGTTAGAATTTTATGAGATAAAGTGTTGTCAATCTGTAAATAAAATAGAGCATTATTCTAAAAGTATTGAGTAATTTCTCAGTTGAGGACACTATGTTCCTGACCAATCATAAATCACTATGCCTCTTATTATTTTCCAATCACTTTAAAAAAATTGCAGATCATATTCTTTCTAGTCATCATAACACATTTCGTATAACTTCTTATAAATTACAACCAGGAATGCAATGAATTTAGATTACAAAAATAAATTGCAGACATTTCATGCAAATGAGGAAAGCTAGACAATGAAGCCCTAGCTGTATAATAATTTTGAGAGGGAAAATGTGATTAAACTGTTTTTTAAATTTCATTTGGATTGGATTCAGTAAAAAAAAATTGTTGACTTTTATCATTTTCAATGAATCTTTATTAAAAGTTTTCTTTAAAAAAATGACTTTTAAGGTCTTCCAAACTAGATGGATCTGGAAAAATATATATATATTATTTTTTATTTTTCAAAACAAAATTACATTTTAAATTTTTATAGATTAGATGGATTGGGAAAGTACAAATATTTTATACAATTTGTTACAAAAATCAATAAATACCAAAAAAAAAAAACCCTAATATTTTTCATTGTTGTCTAACAAAGTTTTTAAAAGAGGACTATTGTTACACATTAACTATTACTTTGTACTTTCAACTAAGGTGGGGTTTGACAATGTTAATTCCTTTTTCTTTTCTTTTCTTTTTTCTTTCTCTTTTTTAGAATATAAATAGCTTACTCGTTTGTTAATTCTAAAATGAAGAATTTATTAAAAAATTATCTTTCAAATACTTATATCTCAATTAATTTATGAGATATTTTTATATTTTAATAAGTTTTATTATGTTGGACATTTGATTCATCAAATCCCATATTTTATAGACAATTTTATCCTTATAAATATTCTTTAAAACGTTAACAACGTAGTGATGTCAAAATTCATATTAAATAAATTTGACAATATAAATGTTCACATTGAAAGTGTGAATGTTCACATTATGGAGCATTAACACTGTTAATGTGAATATTAATATAAGCTTCGCCCTATTATTATTAGGCGTATTCTGGTAACTATGTCATCCATCGGATTTATTGGAATATAAGAAAATAATTTGAACTAAGTGGAGTATAAATAAATGAAAAAGAGATTTATGAATAAATGTGCCTTGTAAAAAAAGATTTTTTTTTTTGTTATGGAGGAAATTTTGTGCCTTTTTTTAAACTTTTTTTTTATGGGTGAAAATTACTATGTATTGTTATTCAGATCCAAAAGCTATATCCATTTTCTCGACCCAATGATGTGTCAAGAAAATAATTAGTTAATAATTAAATATTCTCTAATTATTAATCAATCATCTTCTTGATACATCACTGAATCTAAAAAGTGAATTTGTGTATCATTTTTCTATTGTTATTTATTTAGCACAAAAAAAGCATTTTTTTTAGTTTTGACTTTTTAGACAAAAAAATAACTTATAAGGGTTTGGCAACCTTATATTTACAATTTTTTGATAATATTTACAAAAATTATAAACAAAAACTTGTTTGAAATTTATTTTCCTTTTTAAAAACTTGCAAGCAAATTATAAAATTTACTAATTTTTGTAACCACAAAAAAATTGATTTTTCTTATTTAGGGAAAAAAAAAAGTTGTATTCAATTGTTTAGGAATTTATTTTCTCTTCTCCCACCCCTCTGGCCACCACCCACCGCTCGTCACCACCACTGCCCATCACCAGTGACTTTCTCCGAGATAACCACTACATCCCACCAATTACCTTTGGTCACCGCCTCTTATCGGAACCCACCTTTGGTCACTACCTCTTACCAGAATCCTAAGGTCATAGGAGGTAACACTACAAGAATTAACACTTTTGGCAACAAAAAAATTGGTCGCTAAAAGTCTATTTTTGGTCGGCAAAAGTTATCCGCGACCAATTTTTTTTGTCGCTAGTTTGGTCGCCAATTGAGGGTCGGCAAAAGTAATTCGCGACCAAAATTTTCATTGGTCGGGAAAAGTTACATTTGCCGACTAAATTTTTGGTCGCTAAATATTTATTTACTGCGACTAATTCATTTTGTCGCTAAAACATTTTGGTCGCGAAAAGTTGCCTTTTGCCGACCAAATTTCTTAGTCGCCAATTGTCACATTTCACGACCAAAATTAGTTTGGTCGCCAATTGTGACATTTCGCGACCAAAAATTTTGGTCGCCAATTGTGACATTTTGCGACCAAAATTAGTTTGGTCGCCAATTGTGGCATTTCGCGACCAAAAATTTTGGTCGCCAATTGTGACATTCTGCGACCAAAATTAGTTTGGTTGCCAATTATGACATTTCGCGACCAAAATTTTTGGTCACCAATTGTGACATTTCACGACCAAAATTAGTTTGGTCGCCAATTGTCACATTCCGCGACTAAAAATTTTGGTCGCCAATTGTCACATTTGGTCGCCAACATCCAACAAAATAAACCTGTAATTTATAATAATCCATCCAATTTATTCAATATAATCTGTAATTTGCAAAATAATCCATCCAATTTATTCAATTTATTCAAAATAATCCATTCAATATAATAATCCATCCAAATTTTTGGTCGCCAAAAAATATGTGACATTCCGCGACCAAATTTGTAGTTGGTCGGCAAAAGTATATCACTTTCTGCGACCAACTCATTTTTTGGTCGCCAAAATATAACCTTCTGCGACCAATAATATTTGGTCGCCAAAAATATTGATCATTCGCGACTAATTAATATTTGGTCGCCAAATATTATTTTTTTGCGACAAAAATTTTTTTAGTCGGCAAAAGTGGTCGCCAATTGTGTAAATTCTTGTAGTGTAAAGGGTACAAGGGACGGTAGTGATGAGAGAAGACAATTGTGATGTGTTTTGGGGTTATGGTTTGAAAGTGATGACAAGTGGAGGCTAAAGGTTTTTTTTTTTTTTTTTATCAGCAAAAAGGGACATTATTGATAAAATTAACACATATTACATATAAAATTATATCAATAAAGGGAAAGTACGAGCAGAAAGCATCATAGTGAAGTTTCAAAATCTCAATTAGGTTAGCATCAAGGTTATCACTCAATCATATGTTAGCTCAAGCCAAAAGAGAGAGTGAGAAATCAACACAAGAGAGGAAAGTAGCCAAAGCAACAAGCCTCAAAATACTCAAGCAACAACCTACACACTACAACAAATGTGGGCCTAAGTTAGCTAAGCACAATAACAGGCAACAGTCAAAACAGGAGCTAGCCAAGCATAATATCAAGCACATATCTATTTCTTACCCGATGTAGGTTGGAAACAAAATCATGTACTGAGTATACGAATTCTTTGAGGTGAGATTTTGCCCATAAAGCAATCCTTATTTTTATCAAATCACATAACTCTTCCAAAATAAAATGTTTGCCAGTGAATAGACATTCATTCCTCAACTTCCAAATAGACCACAATGCTGCCAATGGTATAATCTTCCAAATTTTGTTTTCCATTTTCCTCCATTTAAACCCCCCCACCACCATTCTAATAGTCCTCTCACATTATGAGGAACACCCACTGTACTCGCCACCATTCCAACATGATTGATCAAACCTTCCAAGTAAATGGGCATAACATTAGCACATGGTTTAGTGTTTCTAAATCACCCCTACAAAACACACAATCAGTATTAGTATTTTGACCAATCACCCCAATTCTCTGTAAGTATGCAGATGTTTTGATTCTTTTCTTCTACACCAACCAGCTGAAGAAATGCACCTTTTGTGGAGTAGTACTGTTCCAAATGAACTTAGTAATGCTAAAACCTTGCCCAGAGTTTCTATTGTAGACTGAAGATACACTAAACTGTCCTGAAACTCCTTTCCATCTTAAAGTGTCCTAGAGCTAGAGTTTAAAGGTTAAAAATTGAGGTAATTTTTACATGATAGGTTGTACTAAGAAAGATATAAAATTATAAAGTACTATATTTATTCTTAAGTTAGCCTATACCTTTTAAGTGAAATTGATTGAAATGATTATTCCATCAAAATGTCTATCATCATATCTGTTTGACTAAAAATGTAATAAAAAAATATTACAAATGGAATCATAGAAGAACTTAAAAAATGATCATTTCATCTCATTTGAATTAAGCAAATAGAGCATTAAGTTCGTGGGAAGGAATGGAATGAATAATGTGATGTGAAATCTCCACCAAGAAAAACCTCCATGAACTTCTCTATTTGTGAACGCAGCACATTTGAAATTCACTCAAGGCTAAGTTTGGCAACAAAAGTCACTAAAAAAAAAGAAAAATGCTCTGGAGCTTTAATTTTTAGCTCTAAAGGTAGCTCTAATGAGTTGGCAGTGGGTTCCACCTACAGTTCCACCCACAGTGATGTGATGTTTTGGTCTTGGTTTGTTTTTATTTTATTTTTTTTGTTCATTGCCATGTCATTAGTGTTTTATTAGAGCACCAAAATTAGTGGTCTGAATCATTGCTGAAAAAAAAAGCTTAAAAAAAGATACTCCCTCCGTCCCGAAATATTAGTCCCTTATTCCATTTTTCATTGTCCCAAAATATTAGTCCCTCTTCAAAAATCAAGTACAAAAATAATATAAATTTCCTATTTTGTCCTTCTTTTAAATTAATAAACAATATAAAAAGTACAATTATGACATTGATTTTTTCAAAAAATGTACTATCAAAAGGGTAATTTTGGAAAGTCAACTTTTTAAAAATCCAATGATTGTACTACCAAAAAAAGTTGGATTCCCCAAAAGGGACCATTATTTTGGGACGGAGGGAGTAAAGTACTATACAAAAAGTCAAAAATTTTATTTTCTTTCTATTTTTTTTTTTTTATAAAAAGTTAAAAAATCATTTTAAACATACTAATTTTTTTCACTTTATATTTTAGTCAAAAAAATTATTAAAATAGCCTATTTCCAAACTAACTCTATGCAAATAAGTCAAACTTAAACACATTTTAAAACTTGATAAATTTTTAAACCAAACTTAAATAGCGGATCACTCAACTCGACTCATCTAAAATCCTAATTTGTAGCCTAGTATTCCATAAGATACCACATACTAAAACTAAACCATGAAGGTAGGTGATCCCATGAGCATTGCCATTCTATAATTGTAGCACCAACCAAGTTTTAATTTATTTATTACTAGTTTCACTACTACTTGTTTTAAGGAGATTTAAGGCTTCTCTCCCACACAAAACATGTCAAACTAGAAAGTTTAGGTTCAACAAACCAAGCTCTAGAGAGTTCAAATGCCAGAAAATCCTAAATTCTCTCATGCAAATTTGGCTGGATCGGCTGCACCCGGAAGGTGAAAGGCATCTGGGGCTGGTAGTCATTCACTTGACGATGATATCCATTCTCCAATTCTCTACTTTCCCTCTCCATCTCTTGCTGATGCTGTGGTGACAAGAACAAGATAAGAAAATGAAAGAAAAGAAAAGCATAACAAGAATTTTTTAGTGCAAATATATACTTGTTGATTTTCACAGGAAAAGCAAACTCTGGTTATGTCAATGATAACCAAAAGTTTGTTGAATTAATTTCATATTAATTCACCAAAAACTAATGAATAGAAAAAGTACCTTTACAAAAACTATTTGCCTTTTGATTTTGGAGTTCAGAAGTTATTTTTTTAAAAAAATGGAATGAGTATTCAAAAACTACTATTCGATTTTGGAGTTCAGAAGTTATTTAAAAATAAATTAAAATAGAATGAGTATTCATATTTGGGAATGAGATATTTTTTTTTTTTATAAAAAGTTAAAAAATCATTTTAAACATACTAATTTTTTTCACTTTATATTTTAGTCAAAAAAATTATTAAAATAGCCTATTTCCAAACTAACTCTATGCAAATAAGTCAAACTTAAACACATTTTAAAACTTGTTAAATTTTTAAACCAAACTTAAATAGCGGATCACTCAACTCGACACATCTAAAATCCTAATTTGTAGCCTAGTATTCCATAAGATACCACATACTAAAACTAAACCATGAAGGTAGGTGATCCCATGAGCATTGCCATTCTATAATTGTAGCACCAACCAAGTTTTAATTTATTTATTACTAGTTTCACTACTACTTGTTTTAAGGAGATTTAAGGCTTCTCTCCCACACAAAACATGTCAAACTAGAAAGTTTAGGTTCAACAAACCAAGCTCTAGAGAGTTCAAATGCCAGAAAATCCTAAATTCTCTCATGCAAATTTGGCTGGATCGGCTGCACCCGGAAGGTGAAAGGCATCTGGGGCTGGTAGTCATTCACTTGACGATGATATCCATTCTCCAATTCTCTACTTTCCCTCTCCATCTCTTGCTGATGCTGTGGTGACAAGAACAAGATAAGAAAATGAAAGAAAAGAAAAGCATAACAAGAATTTTTTAGTGCAAATATATACTTGTTGATTTTCACAGGAAAAGCAAACTCTGGTTATGTCAATGATAATCAAAAGTTTGTTGAATTAATTTCATATTAATTCACCAAAAACTAATGAATAGAAAAAGTACCTTTACAAAAACTATTTGCCTTTTGATTTTGGAGTTCAGAAGTTATTTTTTTAAAAAAATGGAATGAGTATTCAAAAACTACTATTCGATTTTGGAGTTCAGAAGTTATTTAAAAATAAATTAAAATGGAATGAGTATTCATATTTGGGGATGAGATATTTTAGTCAAAACGTCATTACAAAAAAAAAAAAAAAAAGTAAAAACTCACCTCTCTATTTTCTTTTTGTACATCTTTTGTAAAAAATATTAAAAAAAAAAACTCAAAAATCAATTCTCAAACCAACTCTGTATGGGTGTGTGTTGATAGAAGACAAAAACAGAAATCTTCCACATGAAAATTTACAATTTAACATGAAAATAGAGATTTGTATGAGTGAGTAGGATGATGAGCATACCAGTATCAGATTGAGCTGCTTGTTATCCTCCTCCAGCATCTTTCCCTGATCATTGACAATATGTTAGAATATGCATCCAACTACAACTATATAATAAAGAGATCGAAATGTAATCATTAATTTAAGGTATGCTTGTTTCATCTCTACTACATACATTTTTCTTCATCATCCTGTGAATCTCCGACTGCAACAGAAACAAGGAAAAAAATATTAAAGATAATGTATTAGTCTTTTGGCACTACCTCGTCATATAAGTTAGATTTAATCAACAGATAGAGCTTAAAATTTTACTTTAATTACCTGTTTGTAGCGAACACTTTCAAGCCCAGTTTCGAGTGTGTTCTCTATGGCCATGAGATCTCTGGGCTGCAAAGATGTTATGTCTTCTCCTTTCAAGTGCCTGAAACATTCACTTAAAATGAGATTGTAAAAATAAGATTGTTTCAAAACAAATTTTCAAACCCAAGCAGTATTAACTTATTTCTCAAACTCAGATTGTTTGATGAAGTAATGTTTTCAAAATGAATTTAGTAAACACAACTTCAAATTTTTTTACAATAAATCAGTTGAAATTGTGTTTTCAAAACACAGTTTCGTTTGTAAATACTTAGAAGCCTATATGAAAAAGCCTGGAGCCAAGCCATTCGAATCGGCCAGTTTGCTTTTGATCTATCACTATCTTTCTGGTTGTTCTGAGTTTTTGATATAAGAGATTCCAATGTTTATATTTTGTTAGAAACAAAATATTAGAAACTTTTTCTTCCTTTCAATTTTTTGAAAGTAGATTTTGACCCTGAAGTCATGTAACAACTTGAGTTTGAGAAATAAATTTAAAACTGTTTGGATTTGAAAATATTGTTTTAAAGCAAACTTGAGATTTTGTATGTGATTTTTTTTTTTTTTTAGATAGTCAGATTTTGTATACTTTAATCATCAATAAATTCTCTTTTTGGCAGATCAAAAAAAAAAAAAAAGCAACTTGTGCTTAACAAAAAAATTCAAAAAAATATGTGCTTGTTACCTGAGCTCAATCTGCAAGCTGTCATTTTCTTTCTTGATTCTATCCAATTCATTGCTGAGATTCTGTGAGTTTTTATTTTTTGTTTTTTCATTTGTTACAAACACCCAACAGAAAATTTATCATCACAAGCAAGTAAATGATACAGATCTAATAAGAGATAGATGCAATAAATAGGCAAATCAACCAATAGAACATATAATCCATGCTTGTTTATGTGGTTTTAATCGAAGATCCACATATTACAACAAAAAAACCAGGTAAAAGAGAGAATTCATTGATAGATTCTATTCAAGGAAATATTTTCTTGGGTACTTGGTTTTTGAAAGGAAAGAGAAGAGAGAGAATAACATTATATTACCAGATCTGTCCATGGATGTAACATCTAATCATATAGATTTTAGTGTCTTTTCACCATTATAAATAAATAAAAAATTACTGAAGAGGTGAGAGAAATAGAGAGAACTCAGAGAAGGAAGTCATCCCATTTGTAGATCTGTTCATAAAATTCATATTTTTAGCATAAAACCATGTCATTTTCCTCAGAGACAAGCCAAGAACATGAGATGCTTTTAAGGCAAAATATTAGACAAAAGGGTTGCAAGAAATAAATATATGTGTGTGTGTGTGTGTGTATATCAAAAGAGGGACAGAATCAAAAATACCTCATGCTTGGCATCCCACAACCTCTTCCCAGACTGTTGGTGATACTTCTCCAAGATGTCAACCAACCTTCACCATGAAAAATAAAATAAAATAAAATAAAAAACCCACAAAAAAACTAAGCCATCAAGAAAGAGAAAAGAACCTTCACCATGAAATTTTTTTAAAAATATATATAAAATATTTTTAAAAAAACACAAAAAACAAACCATCAAGAAAAAGAGAACCTACCATGGAAAAAAAAAAAACACAAAAAGAAAAGCCATCAAGAAAGAGATAAAAACTTCAAAACAAAGAAACCCTACAGAAATAATAATTAAAAAAAAAAGAAAAAAAAGAGAGAGAGAGATTTTATTTTCTTTCTATTTTTTTTTTTTTATAAAAAGTTAAAAAATCATTTTAAACATACTAATTTTTTTCACTTTATATTTTAGTCAAAAAAATTATTAAAATAGCCTATTTCCAAACTAACTCTATGCAAATAAGTCAAACTTAAACACATTTTAAAACTTGTTAAATTTTTAAACCAAACTTAAATAGCGGATCACTCAACTCGACACATCTAAAATCCTAATTTGTAGCCTAGTATTCCATAAGATACCACATACTAAAACTAAACCATGAAGGTAGGTGATCCCATGAGCATTGCCATTCTATAATTGTAGCACCAACCAAGTTTTAATTTATTTATTACTAGTTTCACTACTACTTGTTTTAAGGAGATTTAAGGCTTCTCTCCCACACAAAACATGTCAAACTAGAAAGTTTAGGTTCAACAAACCAAGCTCTAGAGAGTTCAAATGCCAGAAAATCCTAAATTCTCTCATGCAAATTTGGCTGGATCGGCTGCACCCGGAAGGTGAAAGGCATCTGGGGCTGGTAGTCATTCACTTGACGATGATATCCATTCTCCAATTCTCTACTTTCCCTCTCCATCTCTTGCTGATGCTGCAACAAGCCTCAAAATACTCAAGCAACAACCTACACACTACAACAAATGTGGGCCTAAGTTAGCTAAGCACAATAACAGGCAACAGTCAAAACAGGAGCTAGCCAAGCATAATATCAAGCACATATCTATTTCTTACCCGATGTAGGTTGGAAACAAAATCATGTACTGAGTATACGAATTCTTTGAGGTGAGATTTTGCCCATAAAGCAATCCTTATTTTTATCAAATCACATAACTCTTCCAAAATAAAATGTTTGCCAGTGAATAGACATTCATTCCTCAACTTCCAAATAGACCACAATGCTGCCAATGGTATAATCTTCCAAATTTTGTTTTCCATTTTCCTCCATTTAAACCCCCCCACCACCATTCTAATAGTCCTCTCACATTATGAGGAACACCCACTGTACTCGCCACCATTCCAACATGATTGATCAAACCTTCCAAGTAAATGGGCATAACATTAGCACATGGTTTAGTGTTTCTAAATCAACCCTACAAAACACACAATCAGTATTAGTATTTTGACCAATCACCCCAATTCTCTGTAAGTATGCAGATGTTTTGATTCTTTTCTTCTACACCAACCAGCTGAAGAAATGCACCTTTTGTGGAGTAGTACTGTTCCAAATGAACTTAGTAATGCTAAAACCTTGCCCAGAGTTTCTATTGTAGACTGAAGATACACTAAACTGTCCTGAAACTCCTTTCCATCTTAAAGTGTCCTAGAGCTAGAGTTTAAAGGTTAAAAATTGAGGTAATTTTTACATGATAGGTTGTACTAAGAAAGATATAAAATTATAAAGTACTATATTTATTCTTAAGTTAGCCTATACCTTTTAAGTGAAATTGATTGAAATGATTATTCCATCAAAATGTCTATCATCATATCTGTTTGACTAAAAATGTAATAAAAAAATATTACAAATGGAATCATAGAAGAACTTAAAAAATGATCATTTCATCTCATTTGAATTAAGCAAATAGAGCATTAAGTTCGTGGGAAGGAATGGAATGAATAATGTGATGTGAAATCTCCACCAAGAAAAACCTCCATGAACTTCTCTATTTGTGAACGCAGCACATTTGAAATTCACTCAAGGCTAAGTTTGGCAACAAAAGTCACTAAAAAAAAAGAAAAATGCTCTGGAGCTTTAATTTTTAGCTCTAAAGGTAGCTCTAATGAGTTGGTAGTGGGTTCCACCCACAGTTCCACCCACAGTGATGTGATGTTTTGGTCTTGGTTTGTTTTTATTTTATTTTTTTTGTTCATTGCTATGTTATTAGTGTTTTATTAGAGCACCAAAATTAGTGGTCTGAATCATTGCTGAAAAAAAAAGCTTAAAAAAAGATAAAGTACTATACAAAAAGTCAAAAATTTTATTTTCTTTCTATTTTTTTTTTTTTATAAAAAGTTAAAAAATCATTTTAAACATACTAATTTTTTTCACTTTATATTTTAGTCAAAAAAATTATTAAAATAGCCTATTTCCAAACTAACTCTATGCAAATAAGTCAAACTTAAACACATTTTAAAACTTGTTAAATTTTTAAACCAAACTTAAATAGCGGATCACTCAACTCGACACATCTAAAATCCTAATTTGTAGCCTAGTATTCCATAAGATACCACATACTAAAACTAAACCATGAAGGTAGGTGATCCCATGAGCATTGCCATTCTATAATTGTAGCACCAACCAAGTTTTAATTTATTTATTACTAGTTTCACTACTACTTGTTTTAAGGAGATTTAAGGCTTCTCTCCCACACAAAACATGTCAAACTAGAAAGTTTAGGTTCAACAAACCAAGCTCTAGAGAGTTCAAATGCCAGAAAATCCTAAATTCTCTCATGCAAATTTGGCTGGATCGGCTGCACCCGGAAGGTGAAAGGCATCTGGGGCTGGTAGTCATTCACTTGACGATGATATCCATTCTCCAATTCTCTACTTTCCCTCTCCATCTCTTGCTGATGCTGCAACAAGCCTCAAAATACTCAAGCAACAACCTACACACTACAACAAATGTGGGCCTAAGTTAGCTAAGCACAATAACAGGCAACAGTCAAAACAGGAGCTAGCCAAGCATAATATCAAGCACATATCTATTTCTTACCCGATGTAGGTTGGAAACAAAATCATGTACTGAGTATACGAATTCTTTGAGGTGAGATTTTGCCCATAAAGCAATCCTTATTTTTATCAAATCACATAACTCTTCCAAAATAAAATGTTTGCCAGTGAATAGACATTCATTCCTCAACTTCCAAATAGACCACAATGCTGCCAATGGTATAATCTTCCAAATTTTGTTTTCCATTTTCCTCCATTTAAACCCCCCCACCACCATTCTAATAGTCCTCTCACATTATGAGGAACACCCACTGTACTCGCCACCATTCCAACATGATTGATCAAACCTTCCAAGTAAATGGGCATAACATTAGCACATGGTTTAGTGTTTCTAAATCAACCCTACAAAACACACAATCAGTATTAGTATTTTGACCAATCACCCCAATTCTCTGTAAGTATGCAGATGTTTTGATTCTTTTCTTCTACACCAACCAGCTGAAGAAATGCACCTTTTGTGGAGTAGTACTGTTCCAAATGAACTTAGTAATGCTAAAACCTTGCCCAGAGTTTCTATTGTAGACTGAAGATACACTAAACTGTCCTGAAACTCCTTTCCATCTTAAAGTGTCCTAGAGCTAGAGTTTAAAGGTTAAAAATTGAGGTAATTTTTACATGATAGGTTGTACTAAGAAAGATATAAAATTATAAAGTACTATATTTATTCTTAAGTTAGCCTATACCTTTTAAGTGAAATTGATTGAAATGATTATTCCATCAAAATGTCTATCATCATATCTGTTTGACTAAAAATGTAATAAAAAAATATTACAAATGGAATCATAGAAGAACTTAAAAAATGATCATTTCATCTCATTTGAATTAAGCAAATAGAGCATTAAGTTCGTGGGAAGGAATGGAATGAATAATGTGATGTGAAATCTCCACCAAGAAAAACCTCCATGAACTTCTCTATTTGTGAACGCAGCACATTTGAAATTCACTCAAGGCTAAGTTTGGCAACAAAAGTCACTAAAAAAAAAGAAAAATGCTCTGGAGCTTTAATTTTTAGCTCTAAAGGTAGCTCTAATGAGTTGGTAGTGGGTTCCACCCACAGTTCCACCCACAGTGATGTGATGTTTTGGTCTTGGTTTGTTTTTATTTTATTTTTTTTGTTCATTGCTATGTTATTAGTGTTTTATTAGAGCACCAAAATTAGTGGTCTGAATCATTGCTGAAAAAAAAAGCTTAAAAAAAGATAAAGTACTATACAAAAAGTCAAAAATTTTATTTTCTTTCTATTTTTTTTTTTTTATAAAAAGTTAAAAAATCATTTTAAACATACTAATTTTTTTCACTTTATATTTTAGTCAAAAAAATTATTAAAATAGCCTATTTCCAAACTAACTCTATGCAAATAAGTCAAACTTAAACACATTTTAAAACTTGTTAAATTTTTAAACCAAACTTAAATAGCGGATCACTCAACTCGACACATCTAAAATCCTAATTTGTAGCCTAGTATTCCATAAGATACCACATACTAAAACTAAACCATGAAGGTAGGTGATCCCATGAGCATTGCCATTCTATAATTGTAGCACCAACCAAGTTTTAATTTATTTATTACTAGTTTCACTACTACTTGTTTTAAGGAGATTTAAGGCTTCTCTCCCACACAAAACATGTCAAACTAGAAAGTTTAGGTTCAACAAACCAAGCTCTAGAGAGTTCAAATGCCAGAAAATCCTAAATTCTCTCATGCAAATTTGGCTGGATCGGCTGCACCCGGAAGGTGAAAGGCATCTGGGGCTGGTAGTCATTCACTTGACGATGATATCCATTCTCCAATTCTCTACTTTCCCTCTCCATCTCTTGCTGATGCTGCAACAAGCCTCAAAATACTCAAGCAACAACCTACACACTACAACAAATGTGGGCCTAAGTTAGCTAAGCACAATAACAGGCAACAGTCAAAACAGGAGCTAGCCAAGCATAATATCAAGCACATATCTATTTCTTACCCGATGTAGGTTGGAAACAAAATCATGTACTGAGTATACGAATTCTTTGAGGTGAGATTTTGCCCATAAAGCAATCCTTATTTTTATCAAATCACATAACTCTTCCAAAATAAAATGTTTGCCAGTGAATAGACATTCATTCCTCAACTTCCAAATAGACCACAATGCTGCCAATGGTATAATCTTCCAAATTTTGTTTTCCATTTTCCTCCATTTAAACCCCCCCACCACCATTCTAATAGTCCTCTCACATTATGAGGAACACCCACTGTACTCGCCACCATTCCAACATGATTGATCAAACCTTCCAAGTAAATGGGCATAACATTAGCACATGGTTTAGTGTTTCTAAATCAACCCTACAAAACACACAATCAGTATTAGTATTTTGACCAATCACCCCAATTCTCTGTAAGTATGCAGATGTTTTGATTCTTTTCTTCTACACCAACCAGCTGAAGAAATGCACCTTTTGTGGAGTAGTACTGTTCCAAATGAACTTAGTAATGCTAAAACCTTGCCCAGAGTTTCTATTGTAGACTGAAGATACACTAAACTGTCCTGAAACTCCTTTCCATCTTAAAGTGTCCTAGAGCTAGAGTTTAAAGGTTAAAAATTGAGGTAATTTTTACATGATAGGTTGTACTAAGAAAGATATAAAATTATAAAGTACTATATTTATTCTTAAGTTAGCCTATACCTTTTAAGTGAAATTGATTGAAATGATTATTCCATCAAAATGTCTATCATCATATCTGTTTGACTAAAAATGTAATAAAAAAATATTACAAATGGAATCATAGAAGAACTTAAAAAATGATCATTTCATCTCATTTGAATTAAGCAAATAGAGCATTAAGTTCGTGGGAAGGAATGGAATGAATAATGTGATGTGAAATCTCCACCAAGAAAAACCTCCATGAACTTCTCTATTTGTGAACGCAGCACATTTGAAATTCACTCAAGGCTAAGTTTGGCAACAAAAGTCACTAAAAAAAAAGAAAAATGCTCTGGAGCTTTAATTTTTAGCTCTAAAGGTAGCTCTAATGAGTTGGTAGTGGGTTCCACCCACAGTTCCACCCACAGTGATGTGATGTTTTGGTCTTGGTTTGTTTTTATTTTATTTTTTTTGTTCATTGCTATGTTATTAGTGTTTTATTAGAGCACCAAAATTAGTGGTCTGAATCATTGCTGAAAAAAAAAGCTTAAAAAAAGATAAAGTACTATACAAAAAGTCAAAAATTTTATTTTCTTTCTATTTTTTTTTTTTTATAAAAAGTTAAAAAATCATTTTAAACATACTAATTTTTTTCACTTTATATTTTAGTCAAAAAAATTATTAAAATAGCCTATTTCCAAACTAACTCTATGCAAATAAGTCAAACTTAAACACATTTTAAAACTTGTTAAATTTTTAAACCAAACTTAAATAGCGGATCACTCAACTCGACACATCTAAAATCCTAATTTGTAGCCTAGTATTCCATAAGATACCACATACTAAAACTAAACCATGAAGGTAGGTGATCCCATGAGCATAACCATTCTATAATTGTAGCACCAACCAAGTTTTAATTTATTTATTACTAGTTTCACTACTACTTGTTTTAAGGAGATTTAAGGCTTCTCTCCCACACAAAACATGTCAAACTAGAAAGTTTAGGTTCAACAAACCAAGCTCTAGAGAGTTCAAATGCCAGAAAATCCTAAATTCTCTCATGCAAATTTGGCTGGATCGGCTGCACCCGGAAGGTGAAAGGCATCTGGGGCTGGTAGTCATTCACTTGACGATGATATCCATTCTCCAATTCTCTACTTTCCCTCTCCATCTCTTGCTGATGCTGCAACAAGCCTCAAAATACTCAAGCAACAACCTACACACTACAACAAATGTGGGCCTAAGTTAGCTAAGCACAATAACAGGCAACAGTCAAAACAGGAGCTAGCCAAGCATAATATCAAGCACATATCTATTTCTTACCCGATGTAGGTTGGAAACAAAATCATGTACTGAGTATACGAATTCTTTGAGGTGAGATTTTGCCCATAAAGCAATCCTTATTTTTATCAAATCACATAACTCTTCCAAAATAAAATGTTTGCCAGTGAATAGACATTCATTCCTCAACTTCCAAATAGACCACAATGCTGCCAATGGTATAATCTTCCAAATTTTGTTTTCCATTTTCCTCCATTTAAACCCCCCCACCACCATTCTAATAGTCCTCTCACATTATGAGGAACACCCACTGTACTCGCCACCATTCCAACATGATTGATCAAACCTTCCAAGTAAATGGGCATAACATTAGCACATGGTTTAGTGTTTCTAAATCAACCCTACAAAACACACAATCAGTATTAGTATTTTGACCAATCACCCCAATTCTCTGTAAGTATGCAGATGTTTTGATTCTTTTCTTCTACACCAACCAGCTGAAGAAATGCACCTTTTGTGGAGTAGTACTGTTCCAAATGAACTTAGTAATGCTAAAACCTTGCCCAGAGTTTCTATTGTAGACTGAAGATACACTAAACTGTCCTGAAACTCCTTTCCATCTTAAAGTGTCCTAGAGCTAGAGTTTAAAGGTTAAAAATTGAGGTAATTTTTACATGATAGGTTGTACTAAGAAAGATATAAAATTATAAAGTACTATATTTATTCTTAAGTTAGCCTATACCTTTTAAGTGAAATTGATTGAAATGATTATTCCATCAAAATGTCTATCATCATATCTGTTTGACTAAAAATGTAATAAAAAAATATTACAAATGGAATCATAGAAGAACTTAAAAAATGATCATTTCATCTCATTTGAATTAAGCAAATAGAGCATTAAGTTCGTGGGAAGGAATGGAATGAATAATGTGATGTGAAATCTCCACCAAGAAAAACCTCCATGAACTTCTCTATTTGTGAACGCAGCACATTTGAAATTCACTCAAGGCTAAGTTTGGCAACAAAAGTCACTAAAAAAAAAGAAAAATGCTCTGGAGCTTTAATTTTTAGCTCTAAAGGTAGCTCTAATGAGTTGGTAGTGGGTTCCACCCACAGTTCCACCCACAGTGATGTGATGTTTTGGTCTTGGTTTGTTTTTATTTTATTTTTTTTGTTCATTGCCATGTCATTAGTGTTTTATTAGAGCACCAAAATTAGTGGTCTGAATCATTGCTGAAAAAAAAAGCTTAAAAAAAGATACTCCCTCCGTCCCGAAATATTAGTCCCTTATTCCATTTTTCATTGTCCCAAAATATTAGTCCCTCTTCAAAAATCAAGTACAAAAATAATATAAATTTCCTATTTTGTCCTTCTTTTAAATTAATAAACAATATAAAAAGTACAATTATGACATTGATTTTTTCAAAAAATGTACTATCAAAAGGGTAATTTTGGAAAGTCAACTTTTTAAAAATCCAATGATTGTACTACCAAAAAAAGTTGGATTCCCCAAAAGGGACCATTATTTTGGGACGGAGGGAGTAAAGTACTATACAAAAAGTCAAAAATTTTATTTTCTTTCTATTTTTTTTTTTTTATAAAAAGTTAAAAAATCATTTTAAACATACTAATTTTTTTCACTTTATATTTTAGTCAAAAAAATTATTAAAATAGCCTATTTCCAAACTAACTCTATGCAAATAAGTCAAACTTAAACACATTTTAAAACTTGATAAATTTTTAAACCAAACTTAAATAGCGGATCACTCAACTCGACTCATCTAAAATCCTAATTTGTAGCCTAGTATTCCATAAGATACCACATACTAAAACTAAACCATGAAGGTAGGTGATCCCATGAGCATAACCATTCTATAATTGTAGCACCAACCAAGTTTTAATTTATTTATTACTAGTTTCACTACTACTTGTTTTAAGGAGATTTAAGGCTTCTCTCCCACACAAAACATGTCAAACTAGAAAGTTTAGGTTCAACAAACCAAGCTCTAGAGAGTTCAAATGCCAGAAAATCCTAAATTCTCTCATGCAAATTTGGCTGGATCGGCTGCACCCGGAAGGTGAAAGGCATCTGGGGCTGGTAGTCATTCACTTGACGATGATATCCATTCTCCAATTCTCTACTTTCCCTCTCCATCTCTTGCTGATGCTGTGGTGACAAGAACAAGATAAGAAAATGAAAGAAAAGAAAAGCATAACAAGAATTTTTTAGTGCAAATATATACTTGTTGATTTTCACAGGAAAAGCAAACTCTGGTTATGTCAATGATAACCAAAAGTTTGTTGAATTAATTTCATATTAATTCACCAAAAACTAATGAATAGAAAAAGTACCTTTACAAAAACTATTTGCCTTTGATTTTGGAGTTCAGAAGTTATTTTTTTTAAAAAATGGAATGAGTGTTCAAAAACTACTATTCGATTTTGGAGTTCAGAAGTTATTTAAAAATAAATTAAAATAGAATGAGTATTCATATTTGGGAATGAGATATTTTAGTCAAAACGTCAATACAAAAAAAAAAAAAGAAAGTAAAAACTCGCCTCTCTATTTTCTTTTTGTACATCTTTTGTAAAAAATATTAAAAAAAAAAACTCAAAAATCAATTCTCAAACCAACTCTGTATGGGTGTGTGTTGATAGAAGACAAAAACAGAAATCTTCCACATGAAAATTTACAATTTAACATGAAAATAGAGATTTGTATGAGTGAGTAGGATGATGAGCATACCAGTATCAGATTGAGCTGCTTGTTATCCTCCTCCAGCATCTTTCCCTGATCATTGACAATATGTTAGAATATGCATCCAACTACAACTATATAATAAAGAGATCGAAATGTAATCATTAATTTAAGGTATGCTTGTTTCATCTCTACTACATACATTTTTCTTCATCATCCTGTGAATCTCCGACTGCAACAGAAACAAGGAAAAAAATATTAAAGATAATGTATTAGTCTTTTGGCACTACCTCGTCATATAAGTTAGATTTAATCAACAGATAGAGCTTAAAATTTTACTTTAATTACCTGTTTGTAGCGAACACTTTCAAGCCCAGTTTCGAGTGTGTTCTCTATGGCCATGAGATCTCTGGGCTGCAAAGATGTTATGTCTTCTCCTTTCAAGTGCCTGAAACATTCACTTAAAATGAGATTGTAAAAATAAGATTGTTTCAAAACAAATTTTCAAACCCAAGCAGTATTAACTTATTTCTCAAACTCAGATTGTTTGATGAAGTAATGTTTTCAAAATGAATTTAGTAAACACAACTTCAAATTTTTTTACAATAAATCAGTTGAAATTGTGTTTTCAAAACACAGTTTCGTTTGTAAATACTTAGAAGCCTATATAAAAAAGCCTGGAGCCAAGCCATTCAAATCGGCCAGTTTGCTTTTGATCTATCACTATCTTTCTGGTTGTTCTGAGTTTTTGATATAAGAGATTCCAATGTTTATATTTTGTTAGAAACAAAATATTAGAAACTTTTTCTTCCTTTCAATTTTTTGAAAGTAGATTTTGACCCTGAAGTCATGTGACAACTTGAGTTTGAGAAATAAATTTAAAACTGTTTAGATTTGAAAATATTGTTTTAAAGCAACTTGAGATTTTGTATGTGATTTTTTTTTTTTTTTAGATAGTCAGATTTTGTATACTTTAATCATCAATAAATTCTCTTTTTGGCAGATCAAAAAAAAAAAAAAGCAACTTGTGCTTAACAAAAAAATTCAACAAAATATGTGCTTGTTACCTGAGCTCAATCTGCAAGCTGTCATTTTCTTTCTTGATTCTATCCAATTCATTGCTGAGATTCTGTGAGTTTTTATTTTTTGTTTTTTCATTTGTTACAAACACCCAACAGAAAATTTATCATCACAAGCAAGTAAATGATACAGATCTAATAAGAGATAGATGCAATAAATAGGCAAATCAACCAATAGAACATATAATCCATGCTTGTTTATGTGGTTTTAATCGAAGATCCACATATTACAACAAAAAAACCAGGTAAAAGAGAGAATTCATTGATAGATTCTATTCAAGGAAATATTTTCTTGGGTACTTGGTTTTTGAAAGGAAAGAGAAGAGAGAGAATAACATTATATTACCAGATCTGTCCATGGATGTAACATCTAATCATATAGATTTTAGTGTCTTTTCACCATTATAAATAAATAAAAAATTACTGAAGAGGTGAGAGAAATAGAGAGAACTCAGAGAAGGAAGTCATCCCATTTGTAGATCTGTTCATAAAATTCATATTTTTAGCATAAAACCATGTCATTTTCCTCAGAGACAAGCCAAGAACATGAGATGCTTTTAAGGCAAAATATTAGACAAAAGGGTTGCAAGAAATAAATATATGTGTGTGTGTGTGTGTGTATATCAAAAGAGGGACAGAATCAAAAATACCTCATGCTTGGCATCCCACAACCTCTTCCCAGACTGTTGGTGATACTTCTCCAAGATGTCAACCAACCTTCACCATGAAAAATAAAATAAAATAAAATAAAAAACCCACAAAAAAACTAAGCCATCAAGAAAGAGAAAAGAACCTTCACCATGAAATTTTTTAAAAAATATATATATAATATTTTTAAAAAAACACAAAAAACAAACCATCAAGAAAAAGAGAACCTACCATGGAAAAAAAAAAACACAAAAAGAAAAGCCATCAAGAAAGAGATAAAAACTTCAAAACAAAGAAACCCTACAGAAATAATAATTAAAAAAAAAAGAAAAAAAAGAGAGAGAGAGAATGATACATACGTAGTGGAAGGGCTACAGAACTCATGCATCTTGCCAGAACTGCCAAAGACAACAAGAGAGACCTTAGCATCACATAGAACAGTGATCTCCTTAGCTTTCTTCAAGATCCCATTTCTCCTCTTTGAGTAAGTCACTTGCCTGTTGCTTGTGTTCTCTATCCTCTTTATCTCTATCTTTCCTCTCCCCATCTCTCACTCTTTTTCTCTCTTCTTTTTCTTCTTCTTCTTCTTTGGTTGCAGAATGTGAAGATGACAGAAGAGAGAAAGATAAGAACATAAATAAATGGTTGAGAAGAGAGAGAGAGAGAGAGAGAGAGAGAGAGTAATGGGAGGGTGTGGGAAGTGCATTTTCCATTAAAGGGTTGAAGACAAGAAACTTTCGAAGAGTCCCAGTATGGTTGGTTTGAATAAAGGCACTTGACAAAGCCAAAGCCTATAGGCTGCTAATATCTTCTGTTGTTTGATTTAACTTTGCTTACAAGTTTGTTACACCTTCTTAACCCTTTGTTGCACCCTTCTTAACCTTCGGGTTTTCTCTCCCTCTCACCATGTATACATCCATATACACATACTTACCACTTACAACAATAAATTTATATATACTAGTATGCAATTCGGAAAAAAAAAAAAAGAAAAAGTAATAGCATAAGAATAATTATAGAAAAATGTAAACTTACTCAAGTGATAAGAACTTTTTTTTGCCAAACCGATGATTTTGATTTCAAGTCTTTTATATTGTATAAAAACACAATTTAATTGATGCTAATTTTACTCATGGTCTTATTTCGCCAATGCACCAAGGATCCTTTAGAGTTTTTTTTTCCTAAAGTGGTTTGTTGTATGGGTGAGATTTAATATTAAAAAATTGATATGACTTGTCATTAAATTTCAACCATACAACACACCACTCTAGGAAACTTTAGAGAAAAAAAACTCTAGAAGATCCTTACTCTTCGCAATGGTATGATCTGCAACCCCAAAGTAGATGTTATGGTTCGCTCGAGCACCATATGTGGGGTGTTGGGAGTGATTCCCTTTTCCTTTTGCGGGTTGGCATTGGGAGTAATTCGTTTCCCTTCTAACAAGTGATTAAAAAAATACTGATTTATGTTTTGTCACATTTGGGATAACTTATAAAAATTAAAAAGTCAAAAAGTTATTCAAAAATTTGAAAGTCCATATTATTTTGGGAAAGCTTGTGAGGGAAGTTTAGAGGGCAAAATTATTATTTTGTCCTTTGAATTCAACTATCCAAAAGTCAAAAAGTTAAAAGTCAAAAAGGCAACAAGGGTATAATGGTCATTTTAATTTTACTACAATATTTTATTACATATTTTTTTGTAAAAAGTCAAAAAGTATCCCAAACATACATATTTTTTTTTCTCTAAAGCCAAAAATTCAAAAAGTGTACTTATATAGCATATCTCAAACAACCACTAATATTTAAAACATATCTTAATAATACTAAATTTTCTTTAAATATTTGATTTTGCATAGCTGTTTTTTTAAGAATTAAAAAATAAAATTATGATTCTAAGAGGGTGTTTGAGGTTTACTTATTTGTGTTTTTTGTGTTTGAGGTTTTCTTATTTGGGTTTTTTTTTTTTTTTTTGGGTTCTATTTTCGTTTTTAATGAACTTTTTTTAAACATTTTCAAAAAATTTTAGATTCCGCTTGACGAACTGAACAATTAAAAAAATAAAAAAAAATTCCAGCAAAAGTCTAAAAAAGACAAAAAAAATTAAGTAAAAAATTGTATTTTTTTTTTTTTTTTGAATTTTTATGTTTGTCTACACAAGACAGATCGAAAAAATAAAAAATTATGACATAATTTTTTTAAAAAAAAAGTCATTAAAAATAATAAAATTCAAAAAAAAAATGTGACTTTTTTAGCTAATAGCCAACTTCGCAAACACCATCTTAGGAGAGGTCGGGACGTGAGTCCATTTTGTTTGGGTCTAGGCTTTAGTCAAATTCAAAAGTAACTTGGGTCAAGTTTGGCTAAACTAAAAAAGTGCACTTATTTCATCTTTTTATTATTTTTAGGTCACATCAATCAATATCTCCTCTCTACTTTTTCTGCACATAATACAAGAAAAGTCAAAAAGTACACTTATTTAGTCTTCCCAAATTTGGCCTTAATATTGATCAACTTTAAACTTTTTAAATATATAGAATCAAATAATTGAAAAAGATCCTTCAAAATCGAAGCCACTTAACTCAAATTCAAAAGTTATTTTGAAAAAATTTTTTTTTTTTTCTTTTTCAGTAATTATTTTATGAACATTAAAATGTTACTAACTATTGTGGTAAGAATTTTATTAACTATTGTGGTTCAGTAGGAATTATTGTGGTAGTAATTCATTACTATTTATTTATTATTTATTATTTATATTTTTCTAGTAGTCCATTATTGAATTTTATGTGCTTAATTTTAATAATAATTTATTAATTTTAATAATTATTTAAGTCGCTTAAATCTTTTCTGACCTAACTGTTTAGGTTTGTTTAATGTTTTACTTTTAGTTCGCTCGACAATAAAATTGAGACTTTGCTATAGTCTAAAGATTTTAATTTGAAACAAAATAACGTTGTTTTTTAGGCTTTGTAACTTAAAAAATAGGATAAATCATATGTCACTGTGCGACATTGAGGCCGTTAATTAGAATCTCTTAATTTTACTTGCTTGTCAAACTGTATATTTTATGTGTATTTAATGTCAATCAGGTTGTACATAGTCGGAGTATAAAATAGGCAAAAAGACAGAATTTGGAAAGAACAAATTCCCGCACGTGCATTGACTTTTCTAGGAAAACGGGTCCGATGTTTTAAACTTGTTTGCAAGACATCGGAAGGATAAATAGGCAAGAAAATGACTAGATTGGGGTTCTGAAATTATTTTTGCAAGGAAAGAGATGCTAGGGTTTCAAGCGGTGATTTTCTCCAAAAAGTTTGAAGAACACTTCCATGGGGTCTTTTTCATCATCTTCTTCCTCTTCCTACTCCTCCGTGAGCGACTAGTATTCTTTTCTAGGGTTTTGATGAAACCCTAGCCATGTAAGTAGGTTTTTCTTTTTAATTTTCAATTATGTAAAGGTTTGAACAATTGTATGGTGTTTTAAAAGTTTTATATATATATTTTCCATTATTTCTTTATATATTCAGCTTTCTGTGATTGTTGAATGCTTTTCATACAAGAGTTTTCTATTCTTTCACATTCAAGATATGAGACAGAGCATACTACGAGGGACGAGTCGTGTCACTACCCTAGTTTAGAGTGAACAATTCGTACTACTTGAGATGGTTCATGCTCGTACATTGAACGTGATGATTTTCTTGTTAAATGCTTTGAACTTGTAGTTGCAAAGCATTATCCCGTTCGAACCATAACATAATTAATTTCAATTGGAAACCTTATATACGTAGCTAGTGGTGGACTCTTTGTCCTAGGTTTTTCTCCAAATCAGTAAATCCAATTTTATTTATAATTGATAATTTAATTGCTTAGTTTAATTTATTTGTTATTAAATTAGGTTATGAACAATCAATCTTTTCATCAAAATTAATTTAGGAATTTAACAATTAAATTAGTTTAATTTCACAATTATCCCTGTGAATCGATACCTAAACTTGCTATTATTCTAAAAGAATTTGGTATAATTTTGTATTTAATTTTGATGTGTGTAACGACCCATCAATACATTATCCAAAACTTAATTATAAATACATGACAAAAATTTATAATTTTGTATTTTAATGTTTATAAAGCTTACTATTAATTTGAAAATATTTTTTTAAGTATACACTAAAATGTAATTTTACCTAAAAATTATTCTGTATTTTAATTTAGACTTCGTTTGTCAACTATATATTTTAGTCAACAAATTAAAAAATAACTATAATTTATCACATCATTTTTTTTTTACAAAATTTACTCATAAATCCTACTTTCTGAAAAGTTGAACCATTTAGTCTTAAATGTTTTCTTATGCACCATTTAGTCCTGTTTAATAGTCTATTTTGGGGGGTTTGATTTGATCCATTTAGTTTTTACATCAATACCCTCTACATGAATCTTTCTACTAGAAATTTGAAAAACAGTTCTAGGGTTTCAAATCTCATCACAAACAAGAGAAATGGCGTTGGGATCCGAGATGGAATCGCATACGGCGGCGAGGTCGATGTTTGCGTCGTTCCTCACCTTCCAGTTCTTGTGCGTTAAACGATCCTCCCATGGCACATCATCAGAAACATCATAAAACGTCATCAAGAACATCAACAAAACATCAAGAAGGTTTGATGATGTTCTGTTGCAGATGTAAACTTTCATGAGGATCCTTACTCTGGTTCACTTCCTTGCATGATTATTTCACCACTGTTTTGCCCAGGGGCCAGAACATCATCAAACCTTTAAAAGTTCTAAAACATCATCGTATCCAGAAAGGGTTTGGTCTCAGGGGCCAGAAGGGGCTTTTCAGACACGATTGGTGGCGGTTCTGGGAAGTGGGTTTTCTCTGGGAATGGTGGATCGGAAGGGATAACTCAACCACGTCAATTCGTTTGGTTTGAATGGTTGGGAGAGAAAATAAAATAAATTGATAGATTTTAATCTTTTGTTTAAATTACGAAATAGGAGAAAATTGGAGAGAATTATGATGATGATGTTTGATCAGAAAAAAATGTTTAATCGTTATTTTTGATGTTTGATATTATTTTAATTGTTATTTTAATGTTTAATCGTTATTTAAAAAATTGTTTAATTTTTATTTTGATGTTTAATCGTTATTTTAAAAATTATTTAATTATTATTTTTTATGTTGTTTTGATGATGTTGTATAATGTTTTGATGTTTGATGTTGTTTTGATGATGATGTTTGATGTTATTTTGATGATGTTACTCATAAATTTGATGTTTGATGTTTTGATGTTTGATGGATAATGTTTGATGTCGATGATGTTCAATGGTCACTAACATTGGGATAGGACCTAACGGTTCATAAGAAAATTCATAGGACCAAATGGGTTACAAGATACAAATTTGAGATTTATTGGTGCATACCCTTTTTTTTTTTTACTTTTTTACATATTTTTTTTATAAAAAATTACTAAAGTTACTTTATTTTAGATGTAAACACAATTTTATTAAATTATGTACTGCGGGCGGTTGTCATCTACTACTAGACAAATGTGGTGATTTAAGGCATTGGATTTATGAGGGTCTCCTCTAAGATTTGAGTGGTGGGCACTTATTCAGCTCGTGAATTAATAAAATCTT